AAAAAAAAAAAAAAAGGCAGTGATATCGCAGAGTATTTGTGTAAGATAAGTCAATAGAGAAGGGAATTGATGTGCAAGAGAAGGGGATCCATTGCAGAATCAGTGTTCTTGAGTAATTGATAGAGGGTGGAACCTAGTGGGTGGGTGGAGGGGTTTGATTGTAACTTACTTTGACCTAAAGACTGTTTCATCAGACACTTGAATGGTTTGCCCCACTACCTCCTTTACATTACGCTAAAGGTCTGCCCCTGTGTCCTAGCCACAAGCTACCTTTCACCTAAGAAACATAAATACCCTTCTGACTTTTCAATCTCACCATGTTTATACACATCTAGTATTTCTTTCCTGTACATACTATTGAATAAGGAAAGAATATGCTAGCCACTTTGAATTTTGATTTGCCAATATTATCATTCAGAAAGAACCTATCTAGAAATGAAAAATATTAAGAGTGTAACAAACCACAGTTGGAGCAAGAACGTAATACAGAAGTCGTGATGGCAAGGACCAGTGTCTGTCTGGTTCCCCATTTACCATTGCACCCCAATGCCTAGCAGAGTTCAGCACTTACCAAAATCATGTGTTGAAAAAAACGAGTGCATGAATGGGTGCCATATTTTTAAGGGTAACTTGTGTCACAAAAGGCCCAAAATGCAAGGTCTTGAACACAGTAAATGTTCTTTCTCCCATAACCACCTAAAACAGGAGTTGAGAGCCAGGGGGAGAAGTGGAGGACTTGGTCCATACAGTTTTTCGAGACTCAGGCCAACTGTCTCCCTCTTCTTCAAGTAGCTTCCAGCACACTACGGTGGTTTTCATCTCCATTCCAACTCACAGAAGGACATCAAGAGCATCCAGGAATGTACCTGCCGGGGTAGTTTATCAGCCAGGCCTGGAAGCCACACACGTTGCCTCACACAGCCTATAGGAGAGAAGTTAATCACATGGCCATATCTCAATGCAAGAGAGGCCAGGAAATGTTACTGGGCCTGGGGCTACTTATTTCTGTGGAAGGAAAGTAGAGTGGATTTTGGTGGATAGCTAGCAAACTCTTCTATCGGCATTCTCGTACCCTACCAGTAGTTCTTTTTAAATATGGATTAAGTTACACGGTTTTCTGCAAGAAAACATAAAACGTACAAAAAGAAATTCAAATCCACATTAATCCTTCATTAATAAGAATATATCAAATATTCTCCTTCTCTGAGAGCTCAAGGTTAGAATAATGAACCTGTTTTGACTAGCAGTGTTCTCTGCAGCCTTCAGACTGAGCTGTTTGTATATTGAGAGAAGGCATTTTTTTCAGTGTCTTCTATAAAGGCTTTGTCAGCATTTTACAGTTCTAGAAGACAAATTTGTCTTTGCTCCAAGTGTTTTCAAGTGCTTCAGTGGTCAAACAGGTTTTGAGTCTAGCTTTTAATGCCAAAACAGAGAGGGGGGCCAAGGGGAAGAATTGAAAATAAATTCCACAGTCTCAGGCTAATTTTTTCATGGCTTTTGCTCTTTTTAGATTTCAGGATATTTTTATAATTAAGGAAGGTGGTTCTTAAAATTCACTTCCTTCTGACACATAAAAACTGTCCAAATAAATTATATCATAGCAGATATGTGTGTTTTGAAAGTCACTGGTAAGCCTTAAATGAAGCAGAATTTTATGGATTGTAGACTAAGCTTTATCTGTTTTTTTTTAATACAGTTCAAGAAGCAGTTTCATTAATTTATACTTAAAGTCATAATCTGTTCTTTGCTATTTCTTAAAATGACCTATTTAAAAGAGCCTAAGTTTAGAAGACCAATTGAAATAAAAATGAATGCAATAAAACATTTTTAAAGAGTTTTATTACTTTAACCTTTAATAAATGAAAACATTAATGAACCACTCTTTTACCACACCTAGAGAAGTGTTTGGGACATAAAACAGTTCAAAATCTTCAGAAGGCATTGAGTCAGTATTTTTTCATAAGACAAATACTATTAACAACTGCAGAACATTCGAAAGTCCAGTAGCATACTTCTCATACAATGGAAGTCTTCTAATTCACCTGTTATTTTAACCTACACATTCTGTTTCCTCTTTTCTCATCTCACTGAAGTGGAGGAATTGCTGATCTGTTTCTTTATCTTTCCTTCCTAAACCTTAGGCAAAAAATGGAAGTTAGAATTTATAACATGTTTTGTGCCCATGGAAATAGGTACTTTTGTTACTGTATTCAGAGATCTTTACTACTGTTGTTTCATTCTGAAAAAAATTGAGGTAGATTGCCAGTTGTAACACATTCTTCACATGTTCCTGTTCCCAAAAGGTATAGGGGCAACCCAGCTGCCTTGGCAAAGGAACACTGGGTGCTCGCTTGCTGCTTTAAGTGAAAGCAGCTCATGAATATTCAACAGTCTCAAACGTGTAGACAACATGAAAGTTGGAATTGTCATAAAGTCTTAGGAATATAGAACAGTTTTGAAAGTCACCCTTTGTCTATTACATCTATAAAAACTCAAATCCTTGGGGAGTTCTCAAACATAGGGATCAAACATGTTTTAAAAGTGGGGTCGGGGAGGGAGTTGAAGTTATTGCTTACTTATTTTAACCCTGGAGAACAGCTAGACTTTCACACATTTTACAACCGTTTTTTGCAAAGCTTTCCATTATTAACATAGCTATCTTTTTTCTATAATTCTCAAAATCTATAATCAATTATATCTTGGTTCTTTCTATTTAGAAAAAAATTCTTGTAGCATCTTACTGAAGTATCTTTAAATTCATATAATATTATAGCTTATTTTCTGTTCTCTTTCTGAATATTTCTTAGCCTTAATGTGAAGATTTTTATTTATTCAGAAATAGTCATTCGCATATAATTAAAAAATGTATTTCATTGACACAGTTCTAAAATTATCTGAGGGTAGAAGGTTGTACTTTCCCTAGGAATTCATGTTCCATAACTTTAGGAAAACTTAATACTGTTGTCCAAGATCTTACACTAAAGATTTTGATAATCTATTAAAGATTACCAATGAGAACAAACAAAGATTGTCTGTCATAGATATATCTCTTGTTTTTCAGGAAGATCACATTTGGGTAATAAGAGCAATTATGCTTTGCTTCAAGGAGAGCCATTTTAGAGAGGCCTCTTCTAAATATATAATTGAATTTTGTCATAATTTTCATTTGTCAGATCGATTCTCAAATCAACTGTGTAAATTATCTAAGTGTCTAAATTGATGTTTAGTAATGGAAGACACAAACACTCCAGTTCCTGGGGACATTTCCTTAACTGGAGAAATAATAGTAAAATATTTTAGGGGAGGTGGATCTCACAGTTTCAGAAATAATAATCACGGCATCAACAACAATACCTAATATCCTTTAAATGTACCTGGTATTATTCTAGTGCTTATACATCTGTTATCTCCTTTAATCTTCATGACCACCTATATTAAGTCTTGTGATCTCCATTTTTCAGAAGAGGAAATTGAAGGTCAGGTAGGATCATAACAGTTGGTAAATGATAGAGCTAGGATTCAAACCCAAACATTCTGACTCCAGAGTCACCATTCTATTATGTTATACTTACTGTGTCTCCCTTTGTTTCTACTGTTTGATGGAGCCCAGGGTTTTAAACTTTACGAATTCCAGGTAAGTGGGTCAAACCAAGGTAAATGGAAAATAATTCATTCATTTACCGAGCCAAAGATTAGTTTTCTACTCCAATTATGTGTTTATTTTGTAAAGATTTTTATATATGTCAATTTCATCAGATTATTGTGAACCTTAGTCAGATTTACTTTGTGAAGGGTTTTTCATGATGGAAGGCTATAAATATGTAGATGAACACATGTTGCTTCAATATTATTATTCTAATGATACACAATAGGTGGGTTGTGCTTAATGTCTTTTTAATGCAGATACGAATCTGTGAGTTCAGTGAAATTCAGGTTCAGATCTCCAAGGCAGGTATTTTTTTTTTTCAGTTTAGTGAATGTAAATGTGTTCTCATTTGCTTATTTGTAATCTTCCTTCATGGGGATGGCTTACTTATTATGTGCTCAGTTGCCTGAATTGTATTTAGAAAGCTTTGGCCACATTCACAGAGGCCGTCAAAAAACCTTACAGATATGCCTCCCGATAAGTATTAAAGCCCTCTTGGCCAGCCTGAAATACATGCTATTCAAAGTAAATTTCCTGTTTATATTTTTCCCATCTTAGCTGATATAAAGATTAATATTAAATATCACAGAAACAAAGGTTCTTTATGCCATTTCTTTTTATGGATAGTTTACAGTTTAGCTATGTGTTTTCCCACTTTATATTTGCAGTTTATACTGAAAATATGTTAAATGAACAATGAATGTTACGTTGGTTTCTGATTAGATTCAAGGTCAGATTCCCCAGTTCTAGTTCTTTTTCTTTTTTTTTTTTTTTTT